CAGCTAGTACCCAGGATGAGAATATGAAGTATTGAGATCGCAGACTCTACCATCGTTATTATTGTCCCGTTCTTGGAAAGGGTTCTTTTTGGGAATATGAGCTTTTTCTATCTTGACCCCATTAATCTGTCTAGAAAATGAAGATAACAGGTGATGAAGTGTCCGTGTTCATTGATTGCTATAATGAGACAATGTGAGACATATGGCAAGGTACTAGACATTCCTGTGCGGGACTATTCCAGGAAAAGGGAGAAGGCCACTTTTGTGTACTGTGAGAAAGCGAGACTTACGTCTCCATCTCGTGGCAAGGAGGACAACTTTATAATTCTCTAAAACTCCTAAGTCCATGTTGTATCAGAATGTTGTCGCTACGTTGTCGATGTCAAGAGTGTCAACATTCTCTCAATGTTGATAGCTAATGTTGCAATGACATTCGTAGAAATGTCGTAGCAACATTCCAAGTGGAAACATTGAAGCAATGTTATATCAATGTTGTAGATCAACTTGCAACATAGAGCAACATAGTCAACATTTCGGAAACGTTTCATCAACATACTGTGTTACTTGGGTTAGTCGGTGGGATCGTGATTTTCTCATCAAGCCTATCACGATCGGGCGATGCATGACGAGAGGATGCAACGTCTCCCTGGAACCACTCTGGTGGACCCAGGCTACGTCCCTCAATTTGAGGTATTAACCCCTAGCATGTTCAGGTATCTCTCACTATGTAAAGTTCCCTCAAAAAACCGGTGCCGTTTGACTTCGTTTTGAGAGCCCTTTCAATTACCAAAGTTTGGTGAAAATCAGAAGTTATCACTTGCGTAGTGTCCCTTATAAGTTGATTGCTATCGGATCACCTTCAAGCTTGTAACTCCGAGTACTCATCTTAGGGTGATACGATGTTCCGTTCAGTTTCATGACGTTCAGTTTTTGAAAGATGTTCAATTTAGATGTTCTGTTTCGGAAGTTTCGGGTTACCGAGGAAATGCAGGAATTCCTTTCTGAGGATTAGTCGAAATTCAAGTTTACTTCTTATTATTCGGAAATTTTTATGAGGAAAAACTTCACAATTTTTTAACATTGACAGTGAATTTCCATCGTTCCCTTCCAGGTGGTCATCTAACGTCTAGGAGTACATTTGGGATCGCCAAAAAAATTCGTTCAAGAGATCAAATAAACACTTATTTCTCATCATGAATTATGGCAAATAGGAAATCCGCGGAAGAATTGGACCTCGCACGAACAGAAACCGCAAACGGATATCCCCAGATAAGGCAACATCCCTTACCACAGCGCGGAAGGGAAAGGAATCAGGAAGCCGTGAAAGTTGACTTCATGTAAACCCTAAACACGACGGAGACAATAGATTCCTTAAGGTGTGTTCAAGTCATCTCATGGCATATTTCAGCATAGAAATACATCATTCAGGCCGTCTCCAACTTCGCCCTCAGGTAATTCCAAACTCATCATTTCATATTCTGAGTCTTACTCAATATGATTTCTCTTCTGAGGTATCAATCGTCTAGGTCGTCTGAAAACAAAGCGACAGTCATTCAAAGTAGCGTAGAAATGCACCGTAAATAATAAATTTCGCAAATTGCTGATTCTTCAGGGTAAAAATTTCAATTTCTCTCTCTCTCAATTTTCACTGAAGGCTTCCGATACACACTTGCATTATTTTATCGCCCTGTCCCTTGTTGCTGCATTATCCTCATCATTTCTCTAACATTTTTCATAGACTATGTGACATGCACATTGGCACAAACTCAATTCTGCCTTGCAGAAATCTTAACTTTATATATGGGATGGAGAAAAACTAAAATAGCACATTGAGGCTATTTGTTGGCAAGTCCTCGCTGATAATGTTCTGTGTTGACTTATTCAGCAAAGGGTAGATATAACTCAATCACAGGTCGTAAGACGAGAACGAGCCCTACACGAGCTTCTTTTGGATCTGTTGGACATCAATACCTTGCGTATATTGGAATCGCATGCTATGATTTTGTTGGAATCAATCTTATTTTGCTTTATTTATGGCCTCGTGAAATTGCCGTAATTCTCGACAGATTAGGGAATAGTAATATGTGCTTGGGAGAATCTCAAAATGAAGAAAAGTGAATTCATTGATATCCGTCAGCATCCCTTCAAGCAACAAAAAAAAATTCCTGACGTGGTTGCTGTCATGTGAAGGAGTATTCTTTCTTTCCAACAGAAATAATTGTGGTACTCACGTGGATCCGATTTAAATCAACTAAGAAGACAAAACGAAGAGGGGAACCGACAGCGTCCGAACATTTTCTGAGGCCTTCCCGTAGCGAATCCTACGATGACACCATTCTTGACCATCGTCTTCCTTTTTCTTCACTCCTTGGTGTCTGGTATATTTGAATGCCCCACACAATACATAGAACCCTGCAAGTGCACGATAGATTCGATGAGCAATGTGAAAGTTGATTGTTCGGATGCAACCTCTGAATATGAGATTCAATCAGCACTGAGGGTGACCTCATGGCCTTCCAATGTGCCCTGGTGAGTCAGCATTCTAGTTCATTCAGCTTCTTCTGATAACATACCACTCAGCGCCATCAATTAAATCCCGCTGTGCGAATTCCATCATAGCTCTGTACTATTCCTTGCTCCACCCCTCATGTAATTTTAGTTCCTCCTTTGAAGAAAATATTGAGGATGACCAAATGCTTCAAAAGACTTTTCAATATGTCCCAATAAAAGGAGACTGGAAAAATAAAATGCAAATGAAAGCAGACGAATGATGGCGATGATTTAACAGGAATTTAGTTCTGAATAAAAAATATAACTTTTTCTTTCCGAGATTCTTCACGATCTGAGATTCTTTCCATCATGTCAATCATGAATTTGATATAGATTATCGACTTGCTTCTGTGGGTTTCCGCTAGTCATAATTAACGTCATATTTTCGAATAGTTTTCAACACATATTGGCCAAAATCTGAAAAAAACGCAACATCTCCTGTACGTTTTCGGATAATCGGTCTTTTTCTTCAAAATGAATGGAATTGAAATATTTTTCCACGGCGATGCGGCATGTTTCATGGATGGAACTAGAACATTGGATGGATAATGGACAATGGACCGAAAATAATTTTATTCTCCCTTTTCCCGGAAAGAAATTGAGATAAGGAAATCAGCTTCACTCGACATTCACATCAAACATCGAGATCTTTATCAAATGGGAAAGCTATTGAGAAAGAAAATGAAAAATAACGACAGACTACGCATACTCATATCTTTTCGCACTTAAAATTACAGTACTTTCTCCAAACTGTGTGGCAGGAAAAACAAAGAAATACCAGACATTCATCAGACCTTCAATAGAAGGAGGTTCGATCTTGATCATGAAATACCAGAATTTCCATGCGCTTAATCGGAAACACTCATACTCCTATATCCAGATCCTATTTCAGAAGCAAATCAATCCGGAATAAATTAATGTCTAGGCACAACTTGCAGCAAATGTGAACATGTATGCAAAGTATACGAGTACAATAAACACTTCTATGAGTCTCTTTGGTTCTATCAAGGGGAATTCCCATGATAATTTTGGATTGGGTGTTTTCTCTATATATTTAATATACTGTATAAATGTGCATCTTTTCACTTTATATTCTCTAACAAAATCGGAATGTAAATGTATTTCCACTTTACCTCACCTTGCAGGCTACTTCGAAAAAGGAAGGTAATCATCATTATAGGCTATTCCTTCATCAGTTCCAGCCGTGCGTGACCTTCATAACATGTACCGGTATCACAAATCACCAGAACCATGAGCTTGTACCTGCGCTTCACTCATCAACAGTAATCTGTCCTAATGGTTTTGAATTGGTGGTGCAGAGCTTGCACCATGTCTTAGGTCTTCAGAACTGTAACTTCCTTCCCATTTTCTACCGAGGAATGTACTTTGACGAGTGAGTGCTTGGGTCGGTCAGACGCTAGAAAACGTGTACTTTTTGAGTACCTGCCACTGGTACTGCCGCGTTGAAACGCTCTCGAATCATACCTGCGAGAATGGATCACGCTCCCCTCGAGCAGAAGACAAAGTTAATCGCAGCAATATTGTGTTGACCAGATATGCAACTGAAGAGGGGAAGTTATCTGATCATTTGCAGGCCTCTTAAGACTTGCCTTTGTGGGAAATCACTGCGATATTTCTCCTAATCCGTCACATGGGCCATTGCCTTGGGAAGTTGCGAAGAAATGCCATACCGCAGGCATTCCGTCTTCTTCCGTCGTCTTGACAAATAATCTTTGCAATCTTTTCCAGTTGTTATACTACTTGGCGCTGCCGTCAGAAAAATAATAGAACTTTAGAGGAATGAATTTCGTTTTGATGTAATCCATGAGTAATTATATGAAGAAGTGGACTGCCACTGTGTCGTGATTAAGTGAATCCGAAATGACAACAAAGTTGACGAATTCTAAAGCCCCACCGTTCGCGAAATATTCCACAGAAGGATGGAATGTGGCCTAGTCGTTAGTCCAGTGGTAACCCTGAATGGCGTCCTGAATCGCGAAATGAAAAATATCAATGAAGTCACTTATGACAAGCACTTCTTTTTCCATCCATGATCCCTTTAAGTTCATGAGAAATGCTAGTTGCCCCTTGGCAGTGAAATAATGACTGCGCAAACGTGACAACCTCTCCGTCAGGTCGTCACGAAAGTCGACCGTCTCCTTCTGAAGGGCCTCTAGCGCCCATCGGATCCTTGTGACCTACTGTTTAAAATAGACAGTGTCAATGTCTTCTTCATCGAATTCCCGCATCATCTCTTTTAGTTGCCCAGTCCCTGGACATTGATCGCATTCACCTAGGAAACATTTACCTTTGTCAGGATTACACGTTATCGCGGCGAGAAAATGTCGGTATGTTATATCCCGTGCAAAAGGATGTGTTACGCATCAATCATTCGCTTAACGTTCTGATGACTGCTGATGAGGTGGGAAATTACGTCAAGGACAGGCCAAATGTCAAGGTCATTACTAAACATGAGGGTCAAGGTCATTGTGTTCATTACCATGTGTTACAGATCTTATGATGGGGAATTTCATACCCTTTCCAAAAAATACTATATTCACGTCTTGATATTCATAACTAACGGAGTTATTATAATTGTTGAGTTCCCTGGGCCCAAAGAACCGAAAAACGTCAATTTCTTGATTAGCTGTCATTCTCAGAATACATACTTTATGGAGCTGGAATTTGTTATCCTTCATTTTCTCAACATGTACTATCAGCGAGTCAAAATAAATTGAAATTGGAGGGGTCGGGGAAAAAGTTTGCAAAATTCTATATATCTCTTGTCATCTAAATGTCTACTCCATAACAAAATGAAACAGTGCTTCCAAATTTGCTATCCTTGCAGGCTACTTCCAAATTTCAAAGGATTCACATTTGCACATCTGAGTTTGACCTCAGTCCCAGCTTTCAAGAGCGACAGCTTGGAAGAACTCAACCTCGGTGATAATAAAATCACGAATGTGGAGTTCCACAAATGGGCAACTCCAAAATTGAGGGTCCTCAAGCTCTACAGCAATTCCTTGACGTCGGTCCCAGCCTTCCAGAGCGACAGCCTAGAAGAAATAGATCTCGAATTGAATAACATGTTGGATATGGAGTTCGACAAATTGCCAAATCCCAAATTTTGGTTCCAGAGTTTCCCCAGCAGTTCCTTGACGTCAGTACCAGCCTTCAAGAGCGATAGCCTGGAAGAACTCTACCTCGGTAATAATAAAATAACGAATTTGGAGTTCGACAAATGGGCAACTCCCAAATTGAGGATCCTGAGTCTCCCCAGCAATTCCTTGACGTCAGTACCAGCCTTCAAGAGCGACACCCTGGAAGAATTCGACCTCTCTGAGAATAAAATCACGAATGCGGAGTTCGACAAATGGGCAACTCCCAAACTGAGGAAAGTCTCGCTCAATGGAAATTCCTTGACGTCAGTCCCAGCTTTCAAGAGCGACAGCCTGGAAGAACTCGACCTCTCTGAGAATAAAATCACGAAGGTGGAGTTCGACAAATGGGCAACTCCCAAACTGAGGAAACTCTCGCTCAATGGAAATTCCTTGACCTCAGTCCCAGCCTTCAAGTGCGACAGCGTGCAAGTCGGATTTCCTACTTCCAAGTCATCGGAAACTAACTGTGAGTAGGGTAAACGCCCCGGTTTTTGGCCCCGCTGATTAGGCTCCCATAGGATGTGGACACCTTGTGCGCACACCGGGAAACACGAGTACAGTCGTCCCTCGCCACTTCGCGCTTCGACTTTCGCGGCTTCACTCTATCGCGGTTTTTTCAAATACCTATATATTGGGTAATACGTGTGTAATGGTGACTAAAGAGTGTTATTTCATGTCTATTAGAGCCCTCTAGACATGAAATAACACTCTCTAGTCACCATTACACTCGTATTACCCAATATACAGGTATTTGAAAAAACCGCGATAGAGTGAAGCCGCGAAAGTCGAAGCGCGAAGTGGCGAGGGACGACTGTAATAGGTCCTCGTACGGAAAGATGTTGATAGAATGCTTGAAAACAGACTATTTAACTAATTATGATGGATTTAAGCCTAACTAGCCAATAACTGGAGTCCGGCCTGAAACTGGGGTGCTTACCCAAGGGATACTTGGATTTATTTGATGTTCCAAATGTAACTTCGTAGGTTTCTTTGGTCATCTGTCCTGTGACATTTCCTTTATCACGTTCCTGCACGGACCATCCGTCTGTAAAGAAAGAAAGATCTTAGTTTTGTAGCGTAAGTCGGGTGACGACCACTTCGAAATCCGATGTTGATGCAGTTCCTGCGAAACTTCAATTTTCACTTTTTAGTGGCACAGTTCCTGGCTACCTGGCTGATACGAATCTTTGAGCATCCCCACTTCCTCTTCATATCCTCGCAATCATAGTAATTCGAGACAGGAGAAGGCGTCTTCATATAATGAACGCAGCGGAAGAATACCTGAATAATGCGCTACAATCGTCAACAATGGCGTGAGAAATGATAGCCTTTGAAAAAAAAACTTGTTACGACAACGAATGGATGGAAAATTTACATGGCTATGAGAAGAAAGTATCTAAAGTTTCCTTTAGATACTTTTATCGCTTGCATTAATTCTAACATTTTTCACAGGATAGTCGTGTGCACAATGAAATGTGTTGCAATGTTGTTTCTACCATGACGTGCGTTTCCATTTTCCAGCATTAGAGTGACACTAAATTGCTGGAGTCTACTCCTAACTCGGGATTTCTAGTTTCGATTTTTCCAATGATGTCTAATTGAATATTTATCTATTTGGGAAAACAATTGACCTATATGGTAAGGTGATTTATCATTTGATAATTAAATTCCCCAACACGACTGAATCTTTAGGGAGCAAGTGTCCACAACAGGGTCGCTCCATCGTGACTCGTGTTAAATTTTTAAAAACAAAATTAATGAAATTTCTCCTTGCTTGCAGATCACTAAAATGGGAAATCGAAAATGAGCACTAGGATCGTAGACTTTGACCTTTCGTCAATTATGTTAATTACATTTTCTGACAGCTCATTTGAGAGTGAAAATATATGCTTTGCCTTCGTGAGTCATGTAACATCCAAATGCACACCTGTAACATCACGAGGCCAATTTCCAAAAAGAGAGAGCAGCATTATTTGAAGAAAAATCTAATTAATTATTAACTCCAATTCATGGCATACACGCAGTTTCTTGTCTGACGACTTCTTGTGACCAGAATATAACTTCAGAAACTAATTAGCATTAAGAGCTACTCGTGACCAATGTTACACGAAATTGTGCAGTTTCAGAAACCTGTAATGCAAATTATTTGAATCAATCATACTTTTGCTGCACCTCTTGCCTTCATCGTTCGTGCTGTGTGATGATATCAAATATAGAACTTCAAATTTAGAGAATTGTGTGCCCGGTAAATGGAGTGGACCTGATTAAAAGAAACTTTAATGGTGAGAAATAAAGTTTTGACATTACAGTTTTTCCTAATTGTTAGATTCCACGCCAAATCGACCAGCGAGGAAGCTCGACCATCTCGGATTTTGACGAAAATCGCCATACACGAAAAGGAATCGATTTAAGGAATACAATTTCGACAATTTGTTTTTCTTTCCCACATACGTGTATCTCCAGATATATGCATTTTAATATGACCTGCTTTTCGCTCCCAGCGCTCATACGGACTGGAATTGCGAAACTGTTTCTTTAATAACTTCCCCTCTATTTAGGATATGAAATTCATTCTGGTGTCATTTTAATCGTGAGATTGACCTCTTTAAATTGATTCCAAGCATTATTCTCCTACGCTGAAACAAGTAGTTCCACTATATCAAACAATTTGATCAAGTTCAGTGGTCAATGTCACCACTTGCCACCTCGGGAATTCTTTATTCCAATATTTCATTTCAAATCGCTTGGTATGCTATTTTTGAAGATACCAAAATCGAGACAGACACTCAATGGGTTGACGAGATATGAATTTTTACCTGCTGCAGTAGTGCCAAAATTTCACTTCTTCGAAAATATTGACCAAATTCAGTGACTAACAAATGGATTTTCCATTCCGTGAATCCCAACTTGTAATATATCAATGAAAAGGGCATGCTATTCCCTTTCTAATGATACAAAATTCAAGGTTGACACTCAAGGGGTTCATGAGATATAAAAGTTCTACTGCATTGACAGTGCATTTATAGCTGCACCTGGGATTAACGGAAATATAGCTCAATGTTAGGAACCTCTCTATGTTAAATTTTTACTGGTTGCACAGATTTTCAATAAAATTTCTTGCATTTTATTGTTATTATGCAATTACCTAATTTGTTAAATTTAATTAAGTGACTTAATTGATTTGTTACTGTTCAAAAATTATTATTTTCTAATTATGTATGCTAGAAAAGCAATAAAATGCTAAAAAATTAGAAACCAGCAAAAATTTCATGCTAACAGCTTCATGACATTTGGTTATATTTCTATGATTCTCCTGGTAATAAACTCCATTTTTTAGCGCACGTGAAGGCTAGAATCACGTCTCATGATTCTAAATGCCAAAATCTGTCAACAGAAAGGAATTAATGTTAAAATATAATCCCTAACCATTGTTACATACACTCTTAGAAAAAGGGGAGCGATTTTTCTCAATATAGAGAGTAAAATAGCTAACTCCAGCTTCACTCCCCTTTCACTCTGGGAAAGTAGCGAATTTACTCCATCACCAAGGAGTAAAATTGCTCTCCTCCGTGAGTAAAAGCGCTCCCATCAGAAACGGATAGGGATGTCATGCAAATTTGAAAATTATCCTACATACTGTGTGTCATTTTCGCTCTCGTATAGGCGTTTAACTACCTATGACTCCTTTGGGTAATAACACATGTCCGTGGATGGACCACCTCTTATAGGTTTCCGTAGAGTGTCCGAGATAACACTTCCTTATTAGCTCATTTCATTGAGGTGTGATTGAATTAAGTCCACGGAAACCCTCTAGATCTCCTATGGAGATTAAATCTTACGCGTTCTCAAAAGAGTTCTCAATAGGAATATGAGCTTGTTTATGGCCTGGACTCTATGAATTTGTCTTGAATATGCGGATAACAAATGAAGAAGTGTCTTTTTTTAGTGACTCCTATAGATATAATGAGACTAGGTGAGACATATGCCAAGGTACTAAACAATTCTGCGAGGGACGATTCCAGGGAAAGAGGGAAGGGAATTTTTGTGTACTGTGCGAAAAGCGAGACCCTTACCTCCATCTAGTGACCTGGCTAAGAACTTGAAGGAGTTCACTTCAATACAAGCGGTGAGGGAGCATTTAGTGAGTAATGAGAGAGTAAATTCGAAAAGCTTACGGTATGCTCACTTTTTACTCCCCAAAGGCTCGGAATTTTCTAAGAGTGTAGAGTTAAGGAGTTGAGGAGAGCTGCTTCTGGAAAATTTTTCTGAATTAATGCCATATTTGACGCAACGCATTTGCCTACACAGCCCGTGCGGTGTAGGAATCTGAAATATTTCATTGGCATTTCGTAATCGCCATCAAATATAGAACTTGACATTTTAAGAATTGTGTCCCATGTCGGTGAAGTTCGCCTGATTGACGGAAGCTTCAAATGGGAAGAACGAAATTTACCACATTAGCATTTTTTGAGAAGGTGCTGATTAAGTCATTTTAATGCTTAAGTCAACGCAGAGTATTGCCCACGTCAATTCCAGGTCATTGGGCTAACACGACAGTCAGCCTGGAACATAACAAGATTACTAAAATTGACGGGAGGAACTTTCACGGGATCCTGGCGGATCTTTCCTATGGAGATGGATTTCTCTACCTAGATAGTGAGTGGCAGTGCTGTCCAACTGCTTCCTGTTCATTTCTTTTTTTTCCTTCCACCTTTCACCTCCTCTTTCCAGACAATCCCATACTGTGTGATTGTGACTTATCCTGGCTGGCATTCTCTCCCCAATTGCTGAATAAAGTAAGCGGGAAATGCAAAAATGGGACCATGTTGCAAAACCTCATTCACACGGAATTGAAGAATAAATGCCCCAGCTCCAAAACATTATGTCCATGCCGGCCGCAGTGTCCCAACGTCGTAGGCGGTCTAAGATGCATCGATTTGCAATACCCTACCATGTGCGATGAAGGAACTCTCAACACTTCCTACACCTGTCCGGAAATAACTCAAGTCTGCTGCATCAGCTCCGGTGTATTAACACCACCTCACCGTGGAAGAGTATGTTTATATTCGGCCACGCAAGCCAGGAAGGCATTCCAAATCAAGTAATAGTAAAAGAGAGGATTGAAAGAATAAAATTGCCCTTTGTAGGTAGGGACGACCGGCTGTGGACCACCTCCTCGCATCAAATACGGACGCTACATTGTTCTCTCATGCTCCAATGATAAGCGGAGGTAGAATTATTCAAACGTATTCTCCAGTTTTCTATGTTTGCTGGGATTCCCCCCCCCCCTCCCCATTCATCAGATAAATATTACCAGAGTTTTCGTACATTGATATATTTGCTCGCATGATAAATTTGGGAATTAAAAAATGTTTGGTGTGTTTCCGGAGGAAACCTGGCTTTGGGTTAGGGAAACAATTTTACTTTTAATACGCCATGGTACCTGTTAAAGTGATAATGGCGATGAACCTACGCTGCCGTATGATTTGCGTTCAAGTCTCCTCTTCATGTGGGAATGTTAGGACTGGGTACTGACAAAAGCTCGCATTTTTTCAGTTCAGAAAATGGAACAGAATGCATCCAAGATGGGAAATACCTCGTCGGAAGTAAAGTGAACTACAAATGTATGCCGTATTTCATTCTACGGGGTCCACGTGTTCGGACATGCAGAGTGAATGAAACATGGACTGGCCCTGACCCGCTCTGTGAACCTGGTCTGTTTTTATTGAGAATTCGATGGAATGATATATATAACTTGTACAACGACGGAATTACTGGTGGGTTCTCCTGCGCTCTAGACTGCGGACGAAACGAAAACCCGGTAGCATTCGCCACACGATTGGCTAGTGGAGGAAAGGTAGCAGTACCAGAGGAGTGGCCCTGGCAAACGGCCATCTACGATGACGATGCGGACGTGAAAGATATCATTTGTGGAGGAGCTCTGATTGGAAGGCAATGGGTTCTCACGGCAGCACATTGCGTCGCGGACGACGACGGTACTATCCGAAATGTGGATGATTTCTTTGTCTATCTCGGGAAGCAATTTCGAAATATCTCTATGGACGATGATCTCGTGCAAAGAATGAAGGTGCAGACACAAATGCATTTCGTGGCATCTGCACGTTAAAATACATTCTGGATCCATGATGGTGAACGATTCCTCATTGTTTGCAGGTGACGCAGATCATCGTGCATGACAAATACACCGGCTGGGAGTCGGACATTGCCCTTTTGAAACTCCACGATTCAGCTAATCTCACGAAACGGGTGCAATTGATATGTCTGCCGTCCCATGATGAACTGTCAGATCAATTTCTGGATGGTGGAGGAGATAACTTTGGCTCTTCACACCGAGGTTATGTAAGACAGCATCAATCGAATGCCTTATTTTTCTCCTTTCTTTGTTTTCACCATCGGTTTTCACGCTAGGTGACAGGTTGGGGAATAGATGCCTCAAACAGTGCAACAAATGCTTTGACTGAGGTGCAGCTTACGGTCATACCAAAGCATGAATGCCGAATTAAAATCGCCGAAATCGCTGGAAAGCACCCTAGAACCATCTCCAGGAATACATTTTGTGCAGGAGAACGCAACTATTCCACCTCATTTGCGAATGAGAATGCGAAAGGTATCGCTCCTATCTCTCCAATCCCTATAATTTCAAACGCGTATGACTTTCTTCTTCAATTATTCAATTAACTACACAGGACATCTTAAACAAGCGGCAATGTGTTTTATTGGAACACCCTCCATACAGTCCTGACTTATCCCCTTGAGACTTTCACATTAAAGAAGCCACTGAAAGGTCAATGGATCCCCTCGGACGGAAATGACATGGTCAGAACTTTCTTTCAGCATGTTCCATCATCTTTATATGAGAATGGTATCAGCTCGCTTTTGAAACGTTGGGATAAGTGCCTTAGCATACGTGTACATTTTTTTCATTAAACCAAAGTTTCATACACAGTTTCGTTGATGTCCACTTATTTATTGAACGCCCGTTATATGTACGTGACCATATCATTCTCTCGTAGAATACAGGGCAGTGTGTGGAGGGGATTCGGGGAGTCCCATGGTCTTCGCTTCTCATAGTCTTCTGAAAAGTCAGTGGGTGATCGAAGGAATCGTCAGTCATAACGACAGGCCTGGACAGAATTGCTCTAATTATGAACCTGGCCAGTATGGTGTGTTCACTAGAGTCAATAAGTGAGGAATGCCTTCATTCTATGAAGTATCTATGTTGCTCCATTGTTAAGCTGTCTCAAATATGCCATGGAATTTCAAAAAACTAAAAGAAAGCGTCTATTTAAGAAGATGCATGGTTGAACTATTTGTCAGAACTTCTTCGCCGATAAGCACGTGTTAAAAGTTTCCTCATAACTTTCCTTGTATATGTCAGAAATAACATATATTCATTTGCTCATCTTATAAACGTGGTTTCTTAGTACCATCAAAATTTTCAATTTAAAAAATGGGTAATATAATCACGTCTTTCTTCATTGTTTTCAATGCGTCTATCATCTTCCTTTTTTATTTATATTTAAATCATTTCATAGACCCTTTCGTCTCCATTTATTTATCTCCATTGTGAATGAAAAATGCAAAAATACATTAGCAAATTTTCGTGCTCAATATAACCTGTAATAAATCATGCCAATAATAAATTCTTTAAAGAATATTTATAAATTTGAATTCTGTGTTGGACGTGTTTCATGATTGCTGATCCCACTGCTCTTTCTTCCTGTCAGGTTTGTTGACTGGATCGAGGAGACCATGTCGATGAATTTATGAACGCAGAAATGAGGGTCCATTCCTTCCCATCAACGCTCCTACCCTTGCAAAGAATCTGTTTTCCTGAGGTGAAATCGGGACGGCGAAACTGAGGTAAAAAAATATGAAAGGGTGGATTATCTTTGATTATTTTTTAACCTTTGTTACTAGTTTCCATCCATTACATGTTTCACCATCCCGATTTCACTGCTATCCTTTCATATACCTCAATTTTACAGCTCCACCCTTTTCACCTATGCCTTACCTGCATATTACACTTACTTTCCATCCATATTTCGTAATTTTTTGACACCTACCCAGCCAACCCATGCGGGTGGCCCATACCAAGTGTCACTGGAATCTCACTTATACTGAGGCGTGGTTAAATAAATGGTCAGTTCACAGTTCCCAGGTTCATGACCGTTGGGAGATCATTAATTGAAAGGTCGGCATTCACAGATGCCTTCCCTCGCTGTTCTGCGAGGCAACACCCCCATCCGCATCGCTCATTGCAGCGAACGTTCACCTGGGATTGGGGAAGAGGTATATTTGATCGTTTGTCGGCCCTTGCGACCTAGACGAGACGGATGTCCGCCCCCGTCCATGAAGTTAATGGCGAAGCTTCCTCGTGTCATTGAAGACCAATAAATATATTAAATAAACTTGGCCAATTTTTACGTTGAATATGTCAATGTCCTCTGATGCATCAAGTGTCAAATGCAAATTGTGGAACAAGTGTATCACGATTCAGATGGTCGAGAAATTCGAAATGTAATAAATTTGATATATAAGTAATGTAATGAGTTTTCGAATTGAATATGTTCCCTGAAGTTCCTCGTTGAACCTAATAGCTGAAAAAAATCAAATACGTGGAAGCGTCCATTTAATGCCAGGTATGAACATGCTTTCCAGGAAAATTCTATAGCCTTTCCCTGTGTTTGACGCGGCGAAGCTTGGGTAAAGTTTGGAAAACTCACGGGACTCATTTCCGGTGGAATCAAAGTGAAAAACTCTGAATGTTGGCGGTTGCACGTTTTCTGTGACGACGGGGGACATTAGTAAAGTGCGAGTCCCGTGAATGGTCTCTACTCGTTGAAAATGCTGCTGGTTCCAATGAGTCGGAATTTAATTGCTCTTGATTATTTGCTGAATTCTCAACTTCTACTATGTTTAAACGTTTCAACCTTTTATCGAGGTTAATGCAATGCTGTCCTGTCGAATGTGCACTTCTTGATATAGTAGCATACTTTTAAATTTGATATAAATATGGCCTCTTCCCTTGATCAATTTCATTGTTGGCCGCATGTAGAAGGTCATCATAGAAATTCCGATAGCGAAGGGAGTCCCCCCAGAGATGACAGCAGCGCTACGCGTGCGCTCGTCAGACCAATGAGTCATCGGGAGAGATCGTGCCAGTCCTCCCAACGGGGGACTAGCACCATCTCCACCGAGCGGGAGGACTGGCACGATCAGATTTTTCGCTTCGTGGATGCGATGTCGAAACATTGTAGTGCTCCACCTGCGTGCCCTACTTTTATTGTCGTATATAGCTCACCTTTCATGTAACTTAATTAAGCTCATTAGAAGTAATTAATCTAGCATTCAAGAATCTGGACCGGGTCTTCCACGACAGTAGTGCCATCTCATCGTATTGCGGCAAAAAGGCAGGGACAAAGGTATTAGAAAGGGGGAAGGGGGAAGGGGGGAAGGGAGGGAGAGGGGGGAGGAGGTGAAATTGAAAGAGAAACGGAGAAGGGTGGGTGAGGGAGGGAGGGAGGAGTATGATGGCATTCAATGTTGTCGAACAATTACGTGTGAAGTTGACAAAGTACGAAACTCAAATGTTGTCCAAATTTTTCGAATGTGAGGGATAAGTGCCAATAAATCGTCGTAATGCAAGAAGTACTACTCGGACATACACTCAATGTCCACAAAATTAGAGATACCTCACTAGTAGCGTGTTGGACCGCCTTTGGCCCTCAAAACAGAATCAATTCGTTGTGGCATGGATTCCACGAGGTGCTGGAAACGTTCTGCAGGTATACCGGCCCATGCTGCTAGCATAGCGTAACTCAGTTGCCGCTTGTTTGATGGCAGTTCAGGCAAGCCCCGCACCGCCCGTTCCACCTCATCCCAAAGATGTTCTATTGGATTGAGATCAGGGGACTGTACGGGCCACTGCAGCAAGGTAAACTCCTGGGCATGTTCCTCGAACCAATCCATGACGATACGGCCCTTGTGGCACGGTGCAATGTCTTGCTGAAAGTATCCATCTGCTAAAGGGAAAACGGTGGTTTTAAGCTACGACCGTTCCACGTTCAAAGTCGCTGAGGTCTGTTGATTTGCCCATTCTGCAGTCAAAACACACATACTAAAGCTGGACTGCCTGCCTTAGGTCACAACTTAACCTACCTAACCTAGGTTAGGTTGTGCTGTAGCTGCATGGAAAGTTGAATGTAGGGGTATATCTAATTTTGTGGACTTTGAGTGTATTCCTATATTATCGCGTTTCTTAGAGACTCAACGGCGCGTCGATGGAGCAGAATGGGCCTGCCAATCGCTGTTGGATGAGCGACTTACTGAATTGCGCGGGCCAACGACGAGGCTGTTGGCCAGCTTCATTCGAGGTTCTTTTCCGCTCTGGAGGGGAACAAATGAGTCCCCTACTCTCATTGGATCTTGTGCCAAGGGGGTGAGGTAATTTTTTAGCGCCCAAAGGCAAGAACGGTGACGATAAAAAAGTCTAATAAATGGTTCTTTCTTTGGGACACGAAGGAAAGCATTGACCATCATAGAAAAGAAATAATAATAAATAATAAAACACTATGACAATTATGTTGCCAGAGTATCTGCATCGATGAGTCGATGGTGCCGTTCCGTGGACGAATCGTCTTCAGACAGTTCAACAAATCCAAAAGGCACAAGTACGGCATCAAGCTCTTCGAGCTTTGCTCAAAAGCCGGCTACACTCAGAAAGTCAAGGTTTACGCCGGTAGAGACGTCACCAGAGTAGGAGGTGTGGCTGAGGCAGTCGTCTTGGAACTCATGGAGGGCTACTTGGATCGAGGCCGAAACTTGTGCACAGACAACTGGTACACCAGTCTGCCCCTCGCCAATTCTTTGCTCGACCGGAGAACCAACCTCGTCGGAACGATGAGGAAAAACCGCAAAGGAATCCCTCCGGACGTGACTACCAAGAAGCTCAAAAGAGGAGAGATGTACTCCCAGCAAAACGACAGAGGATTCTTGCTGTTGAAGTGGAAGGACAAGCGAGACATTTTGATGCTGTCGACCGAGCACGATGGCTCTTCCAGCACGAGAAACAAGCCTCAAGTCGTGGAAGATTACAACAAGACGAAGGGATTCGTCGACCTCAGCTATCAGATGGCCGCTTAGAGCCCATCTGTCAGAAGGACTACCAAGTGGTACATTAGGCTGTTCTTTCATTTGCTGACTCAAACCGCTTTGGTGAATGCCTGGATTCTCTTCGATACGAGGACGAGGATGCAGCTGACCGACTTCAAACGTGCAATTTCCAAGTCGTTGCTGGACCTGGACGGCAGACGCGCCTCGAGCCGAGGAAGAAAAAGGAGACTTATTGAAAACAGGGATCTCAATTTACAGCCCATTTGTCAGAAGGACTACCAAGTGGTACATTAGGCTGTTCTTTCATTTGCTGACTCAAACCGCTTTGGTGAATGCCTGGATTCTCTTCAATACGAGGACGAGGATGCAGCTGACCGACCTCAAACGTGCAATTTCCAAGTCGTTCCTGGACCTGGACGTCAAACGCGCCTCGAGCCGAGGAAGAAAAAGGAGACATATTGAAAACAGGGATCTCAAGACAAACGATCGGCGACGCTGCAAATGCTGCTAAACGATCGCTAGATACTCGATATCTGCGCACAATACGTTTTTTGGAACCTGCATCCTGCCATCAGGACAAAAAATCTGCATCCTGGCATCAGGACGCATTGTCGTCAACGTGTTAATAACATTTGGCATATGAAAAGGTCACACACACGCGCTCGCGCACGCACAAACACCCATTCGTCGCTCTGTCAAACTAGTGCCCATAATCGCGCATGCTAGGACCTCCACTTCTTAGTAACGTTTGTCCTGCTTGAATTAGGATGCTTGAGCTACGTCCAACCTAATGGACAAGAGAGATGCGTGAAGAACTATCAAGCTCGTTTGCTTCCTAGCCTTGTTCCTCGACGTTTTCAAAGGAGTGAAGGCGATGCATGCCATGACGGAAAAGCGTGTCATGCTGTAACTCTGGAATTCTGCATCACGAGCGATGGAAGCCACACGAGGAAACTGGGGTGGAGTGTTTTATGACAATCCGTGGGAACACAAGTGGCCAAGACCTCACTAATTTCCACGAACTTCGTCTCAGATGGAAGCCCATTGATTCAATGATACCGGTCAGGCACTGATACTCATCATTGATACCCCTCACTATTCACACGCGACTTTTCGTCACCCAGTCCATCCTGAAGATGGCAAGACGAGAGCGAAACTCGAATTTCCGGCTCATTGCTCTCTTTCCGTAAGGGCAATCATCAAACTTCACTTCGCAAAGGCACATCTTTGGATGATGAGGGAGATTAATGTTAAGCCCCCGGTCTGTGACATTGTCTCACACGCGCCCACGAAGACGCATTTGCTGCTCGTCATGGCCAGCGACCAGGATCACGCACGCCATTTATTTCGTCCGAGCACCTCCGGGTTTGGGAAAAGACGGACAGTTTCCCTCTGACTTTGACACATCTTCCCATTTGGTAAGATGTCGAAGGATTTCATGAGCCATGACGACAGTCAAAAGCCAACAATGGAGTTAATACCCGTGGCAGGTAAACTTGCTGCAAACCGGAGGAAAAAAAGAGCTCCATTGCCATGCAACGAGCCACCGTCATCTTCAACAATACGAGAAAATCCTATCGGATCCCATGCGATTTTTGAACCACAAAACTCTCATAGGATTCTGATAGAACTGTTAAAGTATTCGTAAAGGAATCTTCGNTGTACAATACGACTCCGATGATGACTCTGAGTATGAAGAAGAGGATCCAGATAAAGGAGAGGAAGAAGAAACCTGGGTCGAGGATGCCACCACTCACGATCGCTTTGCCTTTACCGAGGAGTGCGGAATTCATGCGGACGTTCAAAGTTGTGAAGTGCCTATCGATTACTTTCAGCTGTTCTTGACGGACGAGTTGCTGAACCTCATTGTGGCAGAGACGAACCGGTACGGTACTAAGAAGATGAGGGACAAGAACAAAGACTGGACCGACACTACCACCGAGGAGATGAGGCAATTTATTGGCATCTGCCTGTACATGGGACTCGTTCGCCTGTCAAAACTTCGGGATTACTGGTCTTCAGACAACTACTACTGCAACCCTGCAGTCACAAAAACTATGACCAGACATCGATTTGAGTTGCTGCTGACGAGCCTCCACTTCGCCGACAACGACCTCGTCGACAGGGGAAACCGTCTCTATAAAATAATGCCTGTACTGGACCTGCTGAATTCTTCCTTCCAGAAGATGTGCAAGCCTGCTAAGAGCCTCTGCATTGATGAGTCGATGGTGCCATTCCGTGGACAAATCGTCTTCAGACAGTTCAACAAATCCAAAAGGCAC